CAACTAAAAAAAGCTACTTCTTATAAAAATCAATAATAATCAAGAATTTTAAATAAAAAAAGTTTTAGATTTAAGGCGGCTCCAACTCAAGTTAGAATATGTTGTTCATTGGTGTGGATATAATATTAGTGAATATACATGAGAACCAGCTAAGAATCTTATAAATGCATTAAAAAATATCAAAGCTTTTTTTCAACAACTTTTTATCAAAATCAAGATAAAGAGTCAAACAATTTTTTGTTATAAAAATAATGACATTCAATAAAGATTGCATTCTATCTTCTATCTTTGTTTATGATTTTTTTTTTCTATTGCTAAGAAGATAAATAACCAAGAGTGAATAGATTCAATTCAACAACTATTATTTGCAAAGTTTTCAAAAGAGATATTGCAATTGTCACAACTTTCAAGACAATGTCATAGATATAAAAACTTTTAAAAATTATATGTTCTTCTTTGAATAGATGGTGAATTATAACTCATTTGATATAACAACTTTGAAAGAGACTTGCAATATTTGGTGATTTTATTAGAAATAGGAATAGCTTCTTATGGTGTAACAAATATTTTGTTTGAAAGAAGTTAAAAAGGCCTCAACAATGATTAAGCAAGGTAGTCTTCTTGTGTTAGAATGGTATATTATTAATAGATGGAAGGACCTATCAACTACTTTTAAAGAGAACAAAGACTAAAGTATATAATAAATATAATTTGTCAGATCTTCGACTTCGTCAATATATTATCATTGTTCCTTGTGAAACTTACCCTTAAAAAAGAGATTATATCACAGACATGCATATATATTCTAATAATTTTTAGATAATATAAATAAATATAAATAAGTAAAAGTAAATAAATTTGATAATATCTTAAAGCATTGGTAATATTTGAAATTTTAATCTTAAGAATGTTAAAAAACTTCTGAAGATTTGTTGTAGTTTTAAATTTATATTCACTTCTACCAATTATAACATCCATAATTTTTTCTTCTATCTTTATAATAAGAAATTTTAATAAATCCACAAGTCAAATTCTAAGAAAATAATCCAAAATCTCTAATATCATCTAAAATATTTTAAAAAGAATGATAGTTTATTTAATTTAAGAAAAGAATCAAAGTTTGAAAATAAAAAAATATTAGTTTGAAGATAGGTAGTCCACAATCTTTAAAGCACAACAAAAAAAACTAATATAATCCACTTACTTCTAAAATAAAATAAAATTAATAGATTAGCATTCTTGTCAAACTTTCAAGAAACTAAAGTTCAAAATATAAAAGAATCAATATACTCTTGTTTCACAAAAAAGAATAAATGATCATCCAAAGATAGTATAATTATAGAACTAGAATGGCTATCATTAAAGATAAGAAGACTAAAGATTCTTGAAATGAAATTACGAACAAAAATGGCATTAGCAAGAGTAAAGAAGGCTTCATACTTGCCTCTATATATACTATCTAACTAAGAGCTACATAGTAATGTTCTATAAGACCTCTAACATATGTCTAACTTATAAGATGCATGTCTAATTTGCAATACAAGTTTCTTACAAGTGCATCATATGGCCAATTTGTACCACAAATTGCTAACATGTGCAACTTGTGGCAAACTTGTTGGATAAGTTTTTAACCTATCAATCACCTATAAACAAGTTAAAAATCAAATCTGCATCTATGAAGCTTTTAAAAAGTTGTTCTATAAGATATTTTCAAATTTATATACTTTTATTTACTTCTATCTAATTCTTTTAATTTAGATGAACATATATGACTATGATAGTAATAAAATAATATAGATTGATGCAAAGATGGACAAACATACATAAAAAATTACATCATACTTTTAAATATAAAAGATTTCAAATCAAAATTCTATATATATATATTATTTATTTGGTAAAAAAATTAATATTTTTTAAAAATATTATGATAAAATAATAATCATTAACAAATATTTTAAAATTTTAATTTATTTATTATTTATTCTATTTCTTAATAAATCATGGATTTACAAGAAATTCTTTAATAAATTTATTATGAAAATTTTCTAAAATGAATTTTAATTAAAATTAATAAAATATTTTATAATCTTTTATCATATTCTATAAAATAACTGAAAAAGTATTGAAAGATCAGAAATTGATGTTTAAATTGAGTTTATAATAACAATTTAAAAATACATAAAAGTATTTTTTAATGATAGCTATTATATTTTTAAATGTTTCATATATTTTATATTTAATAATTTTATTTAAATTATTTTAGATCTATATATATAATTATCTAAAAAAACATGATTAATAAAAAAATGTGTGAATAATTTTAAATTAAAATATTATATTTTATAATTTAAAAAACATCATATTTATTTAGACATTATTAATTTTATGTATTTATGCATTCATATAAAAGGGATACAAATTATTATAATATATTTTAGATAAAAATATAATAAATATAAAATAATATTTATCTAAAAATAATATGATTTTATTTTTAGTATATAAAATAAAAAATATCGATTTCAATCATAATAATGACAAAATATGGATAAATACAAAAACTTTAAATGAATAATATGGATGAAATATATGGATTAGTAAAAATGGATGAATCAATATCCATTAAGCTCTAATTTCAAATTTTTTAAAAAATTAGAATATAACTTTATAGCTGAGATAAAAATAAGAAAAATATAAATAATGATTGTTGGTTAAAATATATGAAGAGGAGTGGGTGTATTGTGAGTGATGCTTTGAAAATAATAGAGTAAAGAATTGGTATGAAGATATACATCATAATTGTATTTGTAGCATAATTGTATTATCTTTTGATGACATAATATAACATTATAGATTTGTAAGTTTGAACTTCAAGTGACAAAATGGTGCAAAAATTGTAATATTTGTGAACAATAAATGTTGATTTTAAAAATAGCTAAGATATTTGAGGTCATTAATATGAGTATTTTACTAAAATTTAGATTTCATAATGATTTAATTTTACTTTTCTTTTCTTAGAGGCATCTTAACAATTATATAACAAAAATTGGTAAAAAAATGAAAATGATCCTTAAATGAATTTAGAAAATTGTTATTCTTGCATAGTCTTTAGATGGTCAAGTAGTTGAATAGTTATGTGAGTAGAAGTGAAGTTACTTAGATGGATACATACAAATAGACAATCACTATAATTTTTATTGTATAAGATGTATATATGTACATTTATTGTATGTAACTTTTGTAACATTTTGTGTATGATTTCATGTGCTTTAAGAATATCTATGAAAAGAATATTTGTGTTATTTCATGCAAGACACAATTTAGACCAATAAATAAATAAATAAATCTATATATATATATATATATATATATAGATTTCATGTGCTTTGTGAATATCTATGAAAAGAATATTTGTGTTATTTCATGCAAGACACAATTTAGACCAATAAATAAATAAAAAAATCTATATATATATATATATAGAGAGAGAGAGAGAGAGAGAGATACCATATTTCTTTGTTGAATGATTTTAGTGCAAGCAAACATATTTGGAGGTTAATGTTTAGTTCTTTTTCTTTCAGCAACAGTTTTTATTCTAAATTTATAATTATCTGCAAAATGATTTTGATATTTTCAGAAACTCAATTTTCTTAATTTAATAATACACTGTGTGCAGCAAAGAAATTGTTTTTAATATGGTATTAGTTACCACACTTCAAAAATATTATGCAAGAGAAATTGCATAAATTGAATAAATTACATAGCATATAAAGTTTATTCCATTAATTATATTCAACATTTTTATAACATGGCTACTTAAAATTTTTTGAGTTTGATGATTAATTATTTAGAAATATAATTGAAATTTAGAACCACAATGAAATCGATAAATTTTGAACAAATGTTTGTTTATACAAAAAAAATGATATCAATTTATACTTCTAAAAAATCTTTTAAAATCTAAATATAAAATTATACACCTGTTTTTAATATATCACTGAGTATTTTAACAAAAAAAATTGATTAAAAAATTTCAAATTATGGTTGTTAAGAAACAAATTAACATAAGATCAGCTAAACACTTTATTTAATGCATCTTCATAGTATTAAGAATTATCATTTTATGATTTTTAAAAATATAAAAAAATAAAATTTACATACAAAATATTTTAAATATCTTAAAATATGTACAATTCTTGATATTTCGTAATAAAAAAATTAAGTAATCATTATTTATTCATTATTTCAAAAACATATTTTATATATATACATATATATACACACACATAAACACCACTTTTGAACTGACAACTTTTTAAAATATTGCAACCAATTGCATACTATATATAATTCAATTCGCATATTTAAAATCACCCTGCATTTTACAATAGTTTGTTGACAACTGCAAGGGTGAGTGTGTTTTCTTTGTTTTAAATTGTGCATAACTATTCTTGTTTAAAACATTTTTAAAAATAGAAAAAATTAAAGCAAACAACAAAAATTGTGCAAGCTTCATTTGATAAGGTATTCAAACCATTCAGAGAACTTGCAAACAACTATTTACAGACACAATATGACATATTTGAGTTCAGCATTCAACAATGTCATTTTCTTGACAGAACCCTGTGTTGGACAAGCTCTATTTCAACTCCAATTCATGTTTCTGAAAATGAAAACAGAGTAAATACAAAAACAAAATGTGTACAATGTATTTGTGTGTTATCAATCTTGCCACATTACATACCCCCTGCTGTGGTTACCTTCATCATCACCACCAAGTAAACTCAACATTCTAGAGGAAGAAGTGACAGCCTATGCCACATCACCTTAAGGATCTGCGAACATAAGCTCACGTTACGTTATATGAAGTGAGGTTTTCTAACCCTGAAATAGGAACACACACACACACACACACATATATACATATATGTATATATATATATATATATATATATATAGATATAAGAATATAAGATTTAAAATTTTAACCCAGAAAATACAAGTAAAACAACAGCTGCAAGCATGAAGCCCGCAAGATGATATCCATTTTGCAGTTATCCCTGTTAAGACAATTCTGACTTCAATTCTGACTTCAAGTGTCTGCTTGGCTGACTCTTTGGTTCGTCTCCACATATTACTATTACCAAATGAGAAAACCATGCAGCAGGACTTAGATTGGAATTCTCATTGTCAGAAAGAAGGTCCGCTTCAATTTATCAAGGTAGCTAGTGCAGTTTCACTGTATCATGTACATACCAGGTTATACTGTTGATTATTAAATCTAATTTAGATAGAAGATAGTCTATGATGGTGTATGGGATAAGACGCAAAATTTTGGATCTTCTCCCACTTTTCACCCTTCTCTGCAACCCTTCAACAATGCAAGTGTAAGTCAAGGCCCATCAAACTAAACAAATAATTACTTGTTTTTCACTTATCCTAGATCTTGAGGACACCCAAAGAGTTCACTTTAAATCCACTTGGAGGGAATATAACTTGCATTTAATTTGCTTGCTGGAGCTGCACGTGGACCCCCATCGTGTCTTTCGGATGCAAATTCAATGCTGGTTGCTGCTGGTTGAGCAGATGATCGTTTTTCATGCGCTCCACACCGAGATCTTCTATGTATCGTGATGCCGAGTTTAAGTCATCCACCTGTAGAGAATCACGCACTATTCGTAAGAGTTACATTTTGTTACTCTTTGCCTGACAGGAAAATGTCATTTTATGCAACTAGGCTTGCTCTGTACTTCCAACCGGAATCTGTTTTTGTTTCTGTTGTTCGAGAGATATATGAGAACGAGTATTAGGCACATCATTACACTAACAAATGAGGAAATTTGAGGTGTAAATTGTGCTCCTCAGTTAAACCCTCAGAAATATTTTGTTAGAGAAACGTAGAAAAGAGTAGGAGAGTGACAAACTTCAGCAGTGTAGCATTCTCCTCTCAAACAGAAATAAAGCTTCACATGCTTCGTAGCAATCCTATTTTTAAAACGACATCCTAGGGTTTTAAAAATCGAGTGTGCAAGCAATGCATTCGCAGTATCGATGATTACCTTATTGATGTGTGGGGACTTTCATGGATATCAGTATCTAAACTAGGTTTTGACGTTATGAAACATTACCGCAAAACAAAGGTGATGGATACCGCCTGATGGATTCTTCTCCAAAAACTTGGCAACTGTACTGCTGGCTTCCACTGGATGCAGAAGCTCAATGGCCACGTTTGGTAACTTCACGTACACAACTTTGACACCCTCTTCAAGCTGGTCCTGCGTGCATATATGCATATGTATGTCAAGTAACACTCCAAATAATTATAAGAAACCTGAAAATTCAACACAACAGACCTAAATATCTCAACTACCAACTCCGCACATTTCACTAAATACGTGGTAAGTTTCGTTCAAATAAACAGTTTCCTTTGAGAGGACACATTAGAGGCTCATTACAATTTTTTGTTTTTGTTTTGTTTTGTTTTATTTTTGTCTGCAAACTCTCGAACTTCAGTCCCTACATTATTCATTTCTCATATTTTAAATACAAAAGATCCATTTAATTGCAACAAACTTACCACAGGAGCACTGACTTGCGCTCCCAAGACGCACCGGTAATGTTCAGCTGCAGTAGCAAGATCCGGAACTGCAATAGAAATGTGTTTCAAACCTTTCACTGTGTAAGGTATGTCCTCGGGAGGGCTCCGAAGCACTTCTCCGCTGCTTCGGCCTCCACTGCCTGCTCCCACATGTGTGCACAATATCTGCACGTTGTTCAAAGCCTGATCGCTAGTGAGAAATTTACTGCCAACGACTCAAACTCTTTGGATGCGGGAACAAACCTGAATGCTTTTTTAGTGAACGGAGACCTAGCACATAAAACTGAATTCCAAAATTGGGTGTGCTGGGATGATATCCTTTTTCCCATAAATCATCAGTTATGACGTCGATTCTCGTTTTTGTAACGCTCGCCAAATTGCAGGGGGGGGGGGGGATTGTATAAAAATGTTAGCTTACCCTTGGGGTTAGGCGAGACGCACTTCTTGCCCAAGACAATGATGGTCGCCATGACCGGCGCAAAATCCCAGACATGACAATCGCACTTCAAAGTACCCACGAGGAACGGTCAGGTCACAACGGAACAAACCCAGAAGCCCTTCTCTTCTTGTTTTCCCCTTCAACAGAGCAACACCGCGGATACCTGCCACATAACGTCTACATACTCTTTTGCATGGTCTCAAAGTAACGGGTTCAAGGAACGCAGCACAAATATGTGATTCATTCGAGACGCCCGTTACTCACAAGTCTGATCACTAACCATGAGACTATTCGAGATCTGCAACATTCTTTCCAACCATGCCCAGTAAGTAAAGCCTTTACCACAGGTGTGCAACGGCAGCAGGAATAGGGACGCCGCAGAAACGAAGTTCCCGTCACGAGGGTTCCCGAGTTCCAGAGGCTCTGTTCCCCAAGCCAGAACCAGAACTTCCGTCCCGATATCTTCGCGGCAAACTCACAAGCTCTTCCGTGGAAACTCCGGTTACAATCATCGTCCAGATAATTGGAAGTGAAACAACGTCGAAATGACCTAATTACTCTAAGTCCAATCCTTCGCTACCTTGTAAACGAGCGTGAAGGACCTCAATCACTTCCCATTGGATTTAGTTCTCTGAATGATTTTGTGTCTGCACTTGATTCGACTTCCTAGGTGCTTCGAGCGACCAATCGCAATTGAGCTGCACCCTGTTGTGAACAAATTCGGAGGAAATTGGGATGTTACCATAGTGAGCCTTGTGTTTTTAGCCTTGCAAAGTCATCAGGAATCGTTGAAGGCATTCTTTCATGTGCCTTACGTCTGGTGATGAGCAGCGAGTACGACAATTTCGAGCTGGGGAAATTACGCTAAGTACAAGTTTTCCAACTCCTGTAACAATTTGCTGTAGAATCCTTGCGGTGATTGCGGTTGTGTTCCCTTCTAGTGCAAATTTGAAGACACTTGTCCCTACCCGACACTGTACCACACCTTTGCATGTCCTCACAAGTTATGGCCAGCTGCCAAGCTTGGTTTCACCAATCCTTCCGCGCTTTGTGAAGCAGGACACGATCGAGCTTGCCACTGGAAAAAGCTTCCCCGCAAATGTACATCCGAAGAACGCACTGTGCACAACAGGGGGAATTGAAAAATCGTTTTACAGACACGCACGGTTGTAATTGCTTGGTGAACACTTAAACAAAATCTTGCAGGGATTCTCAAAGAAAGAAACGTCACCATGACCAACAAGCCATCTTCTCCTTTTTTTTCTCGGCACGGATGGAAAGATGCTGCAACAAACACGCAAGGCCTTGATACTCGCAAAAGGCACTCCACAGATTCCAATGCATAGCACAAGGAGACCGTAAAGCGCATGACGATGATGTTCCTTAAAACTTTGGCATATCTCAGAAACATCATGTTGGGCAACAGATCTTCAACAAGCTTCGAAAGGGAATTCTTGATACCAGTGCAACAGCATCATTGCCCAACCCCTCAGCAGGGACAAAACAAACAAAAAACCATGTCCCACCTCTCTACAGTGAAATGTGTGACTCAATGCGCGTGGTAGCTAAAGCGAGCAGCAGATGCACAAAAAAGACAGTTCTTATCCTATTCCAAGACCAGACAAGCTCCGCTGATGACAGCTATCCTGTCATTTCGAAGCCTCAGCCATTGAGCCTGATTCTAGAAACTACTTCAAAACAGAGACACAGCAATTACGAGTTTCCGGAGGGAGCTTTCAGAATTGGATTATATGTCAAGAATACAAAAGAATCAGATACTGACAATGCTTCAAGTGATGAGCGCTTTCCTTTGCGAGCTTTGAATGAGCAATTACAGATTGAAGTGAAGAAAGCCAAATACTCGCTAATTCTAATCCACTTTCGATTCTAGTCCTGTGGAAAATTTTCCTGAGAACATGGTCGATTAGGCGACCACGATGTAATGAAAATTGTAGGAGTAATGACAGCAATCCTTTACGCGGCCCTCAAAGGGACGACTGTTCTGTAATCTGTAGATTGTACAAAACTGGATCAACACACGTGTGTACAGAGGACATAAATTGGCTCTTGGCGTATAAACCAGATTTTATGCAACCGTGTGAAGAAATAATGCCACTTCCATCCGCAACCGAAGAAATTGGACGAAATTGAGCTTGAGTCGGGGTGTGAGAAGCGGAGAAATCATGGTCGCGGCGAGGGAACGTGGATCCCACATTGGGTGTCTGGCTGACCCTGAAACTACGATGGTAGCTGCAACACGCGATCACTGATCTCCTCCAATTGATAGGTATGTGCACATGATCAATGGGCGCAACGAATCCCTCAGCGACGGTGCCTGACAATGTCCTCCAGCAATCCTCCACTGGAAGATGCTTGCGACGTCGAAGATGGCCGCAATGAAACGCTCCCTTGCGCGCGCCCGGAAAAGTGAGCTTCTGTACTGCGCCAATACATCGCTCCTTGCAGGTTTTGCACCAGATTGTCACTCCCACTCTTGGTGACTTGCGATGACGGATGACTGTCCCCCGCTGATACTTGCTGAGCCCTCAGCAGACCTGCATTTCTCGTCGACGCAAGGAAGCTTGGCTCAACCTCGCAAACGGGACGGGACTGGCTCGCGGTCGCCATTGCAGTTGCAGTCGTCGCGGTGGCACCATGGCTGATCATCATGGGGATGGTCTTCGGGGAGCTTTGTGATGCGACATATTCGAGCCTAGTCCTTGATGATGATGAGGGCGCAAGGTCTGGCGTGAGGTTAGTGGGGGGCACATAAGGAGCACCGCCAGGCGGGTACTCGCCCGAATCAGGAAGGAAAGGCGCGTCGGAAGCAGCTCGGGAGCCTGTACCGGGACTCACATGCGTATGCGTGCCCTCGTAACTTGTAATCACCAGCTCTGAGTCATCCGCGGAACGCTCTACCTTCTTCCTCACGGGACACTTCGGATTTGTGCAACGATAGTAGCTCCTGCACATTGCCGAATTCGGAAGTGCCATCAGCTGTGAGACTATGACACACATTCGAGACATAAGCAAAGTTGTAAGAGGTCCAATTAGTGATGGAGAGGTGAAAGAGTAGCGAAGGTACCGAGGATGAGGACTGTTCTTTACGGCTTTCTGGCCATACTTGCGCCACTTGTATCCGTCTTCCATGATGTCCAGGATGCTGCGCGTCTGAATGCTGTAGCGCGGCTCCCTCATTCGTTTCAGTCCTTTTCGTTTACTCTTGGTGGATCTAAACGACAACAAATACACACATCCAACAGTTTAGTCAATTCATGCACTTTCACAAACAGTGGCAGCTTTGACGCTTGTTCTTCAAAGTGACCGTAATCGGTGTCAGGGGCTTACGGCATATTGCAATCAAGGGACTGAATCTCGTCGCAGCTCTCATTGGCAGCCTGGTCTGGCGACTTGCGCTTGTCACTCGTGCTACCAGAATGCCCAACGGCAGGGTGCGGCAGTAGCACAGAGGGACCAACGCTGGAGCTCCCGGTGCCGTGGTGACTCTGGTCCTCCTCCACTGCGGCAATGCTGAAGCTGCCAGAAATCAAAGGGGAGTTCGGCGTGCTGGGAATAGTGGATGAGGCCGAATTCAGGTGCGTCGGAGAGGTCCAGGATGTCGGCGACGGTGATCCCAGTGGCGTGTGCCTGTTCGACGACCTCGATGCTGAGTGTGAGGTCTTGGTCAGGTCCACGGCTGCTGTCGAAGATACTGCTAGCTGCTGATTCCAGGACGCAGGTGAATTGCTGACTATCTCCTGTAGGGTATCAACGTACACATGACGGGACTCTCCGCCCTGCTGGGGTAACCATGGAGGGTGCTGTGGTGAAGACTCCCAGTGAGTCCCCTGCTGACTTTGCGGTTGTCTGCGGGACAGACGACATCCATGATTTATGGTGCTGGACGTGCTACTGCTAGAAAAATCGTGAGAAGCGACCCAGCGAGAAAAAGGGTCAAGATCTGTGCTGTTCCAGCTGATTGTGGAAGCTGGGGAAGGCATGGAAAGAAGATCCGCCAGGAATGAAGGCGATTGCGAAAATGAGGTCGTGTGGGTAGTTAACATCGACGACGGATGCGAAAACTCGTGGTGCTGTTGATGTAGCAGCTGGTCGTAACCAACACGCTGCTTCTGATGGTTTACCGAGCTAACATCGTCGCTCAGGGATCGCATGAGGCGCTCCAGGTCACTCTCTCGTCTAATCCCATCGCCGTCGTCGTCCTCGATTACAATCGTAGACAGGGGGGTGGAGCTAGGCATAGCCGGGAGCGGTCTCCCGTACCCTCTCTCGAACCCGGCGAGGACTTGTGTAAGCTCCAGGTTGCCTAACTTGTTTGCTCCAAGACACAAACCCCACAGAACCAAGACCTTCTAGAGGAGAACAGATTTCTCCGACACGCAAAAAATTTTGCACCTCTTCCGTATCTCCACCACAAACTTTTACATGGGCCAGCACAGCGAAGAAATTTGTTCCACCAACTGGGTAGATGCCAAAATGGGACTTATCTCTAGCCAAAAGCTGGTGATTGGTGATGAGCACTTGAACCTTTCAAGAATGGAATAGTGGTACAGTTATACCAATTGATCATAGACGAGGAAAACAGCAGATAAATATAAAGATCCATACGGACACGCTCAAAAAGGATCACTGGAACCTCTCTAGACTAACAAGAGCCACGCATACCCAAAATCCTTACGTCTCGTGGCTCCCTCTCTCTCTCCTCCCTCTCGTTTCCCTCGTTTTCTTCCTCGCTTTCATACCTCTAGCACAAAGGAAGCAAAAAAAAAACAAAAAAAAACAAAAAAAAAAAGCTTACACCAGATCCTCCAAAAGCCCTTCCGGTGCGAACCACATGTTCTCCCTCACCTATATTAACACAACATCAGCCGCCCACATTCTCAACGACGGCCAGGGGAAGAGCCTCCGACAGGCTGGAGCTGAAGGTGCGAGACTCATCTTCCACCCACACAGACACAATTCCGCATTAGTATAAACCCACGACGTCTCTGTTTCATTCAACCACGAGCGATCTTCCGCAATGATCCTTCGGCATTTGCAGCGAGAGGACAACAGCTGAAGCACCCACCAAAGGGGGAGGAGGGTGAAGGGATCGATTTTGCGATGGGATGAGAGGGGACCATGCGCAACGGCACCGATTCCGCGGCCAGGCCGGTGAGTTATAAAAAGAAAGCCGGGCCATGCGCTGACTTTGGACACATAGCGGGCCGGGCGAGGGCCCCCCTCGCTGTCGGCAGAGCGGCCTTCCCCTGGCAACGCTCTGGCTGTGCACGCTGACTTCCGTACCAAGGGACGACCCCCCCTGCATGCAAGAGAGCCCCCACCACCGTGCGTTATTCATCTCCTTCGGATGAATGACGTGTACGGCAGGCGACGCCGTTTAATGCAGGCTTTTGCTTTCATTGCGCCATGATGGTAGGCTGTCCGCAGACACGGTCTAACACTCTCCTCCTCTTCATTTGCGCCACCGTGGTCGCCATGGAGCTGTTGTAAATGTCAAGCCCTGCTGTTGCCACTTCGCAGTAGCGAATTTGTGTATTTGTTGACCACAAATTTTGGATTTTGATGATAATTAACTATTTGTATGTATATACAGTGACAAACAAAACCGAGTACAAAATCTGAAGTGCCAACTTTCAAGAGCAATTACAGAAATTTCAATGATTGCTTTATAAATCTGAAAGTTACATGGAATAATACACATAGTCTTGTACACATGTACAAAGTTGCACATCAAATTGATAACTAAACATCCTTCTACAAAGTCAAATCAACAACTATGTCTTGTACTCAGTATTGTTCAAAGAAAATCTTCAAGCTTCAATATTTAGTCCAATAACCTTTTGCTTCCAAAACAGCTGAAATCCTTCTTGGCATACTTTTGTATAGTTTCTCACAATCTTTTGCATCAAAACTAGGGTAAATACTACAAACATTCTCCCACAATTCTTGAACACCTCTTGGCCTTGGCGTGACTTGGCTTAAACGCTGTTTGAGAAGGACCCAAAAATGTTCCATTGGATTCAAATCTGGAGATTGAGCTGGCCATCGAAGGAGCTGAAATGGCTGTGAAGAGAGCCAAAACTGAACACTTTTTGTCATATGTTTGGGATCATTATCATGTTGAAAAACCACCTTAGTAGGATCTAAGTTGTAATTTTGTGTGGTACTTCGCAAGTAGGTTTCTAAATTTTTTTGTACAAGTGTTGCTCCATTCTACCTTCAATTTGATACCAAGCATCCGGCCCAAAAGCAGTCATACAACCCCAAATGTCAAGGACAAGAACTCGATGAAAAAACAATTCAGACAAGTAAGCCTTCACTCAAAGAAAAGTAACAAAATATGAATAATAAGTATGTATATTGAAAAGAGAAACTAGAATGGCTATTGCCAAAAGACAAGAAAACTAGAGACCCTTGAAACTAGACTAGAAGCAAAAAAGGAGTTGACAAGAGTGAAGAAGCCTTCACTCTTGTCTCTATATATACTATCTAACTAGGGGCTACGTGGCGACGTTCTATAGGACCTCCAATATGTGTTGACTTTGTAAGACACATGCCTTGACTTACAAGGCAAGTTTTTCTACGTGTGGGCCACATAGTTAGCTTGATCTTCAAGCTAACAACATGTGTGGCACATGGCCAACTTGTTAACCACGTTTCTAATCCAAAAAGTCAATTAAAGACACCTATGAAGTCAAAGCAGCGTCTAGGAAGTTTCTAGGAAGCTTCTATATTAAATATTATAGAATTAACTTATTTTTATCTACTTTTACTTACTTCTACCTATTTCTATATGTAATTATTAGCTTACATGATTATGGCCGTGACATTACCCCCCCTTCTAGAGACAAGTTCCACGAGGAGCGGTCATCATATGTTGAAGAAATCTATGATGCGACGAATTGTATTCGCCACATACTCTGATATCTATTCTCTTCGAAGATGATTGATAGGGCCTCTCAACCATCGGTAGTGTCCCATACCAGGGCGGGAAGACCACCCAGTTATTTGATCATTGTTGAGGCCTTCGTAACTTCCTTCGAATAGAATATTCGGAACACCATCAGGAGTTGTTCCTACCTCTAGCATAATCACCAAACATCGAGAGTCCCTTCCCAAATCGTGATACCAAACGCATTGTATGTCACCATCTATTCGAGGAAGAACATGTCGTTCTTGAAGATCTTCATCTCGATTGCGTCGTCTTGAAGATTGTAACAATCGTAATGTCTCGTCCGGCAGGTCAGCAAACGAAGGTTCTCTGGTTGTTGGCTCTCCATCTAATTAGCGTCACAAATGCAAAGAAGTTACAAACAAGGATAGGAAATTGAATGTTATCTTGCCTCAATCTTGTCTCTTTTATAAGAGAGATTTTCATCTTGATTTTGATGGATGTCGTTGATGAAAAACTTTGACTTTAGCTGATGCATTTGCTAGATTCCTGGATGGCTCCCATGTGCGTTCACTAATATCATATCCGCGCCAATGAACAAGATATTCCAGCTTATTTCGGCGCCGCCTTGAGTCTAATATCTCTTCCACCTCAAATTCTTCATTATTATCTACTTCTATAGGAGGCGGTGGCATTTGTCTTCTTCCTTGTATATCCACTGTCTTATATGGTTCAAGAAGAGACACGTGGAATACAGGATGGATCTTCATTGACTCCGGTAGATGTAACCGATATGCAACTGGGTTGATCTGTTCAGAAACAGAAAAGGGGCCAAGCCTACGATAGTCCAACTTGTCACAAGGTCGAGTAGTCTTGATATTGTGATGAAGTAGTCATACCTTATCACCCTCGTTGAGTTGTGGTTGCTCCTTACGATATAGATCTGCGTTTATCTTTTGTCGTTCTTAAGCTTCCTTCAATTGCGTCTTCATTATTGCATGTAACTCTGACAACCGATTTGCCATATCTTCTGCTACAGGATTATCAACTTTTGAAAAATCAAAAGTATCAAGTCGTGCATGATAGCCATAATTGGCAAAGAAAGGTGTTTGTTGCGTGGAAGAATGTACCGTATTATTATAAGCAAACTCTGCCAATGGCAGAAGGGTTGTCCAATCATCTTGTTGGTAGTTGATAGTACACCTTAAATATTGCTCCAAGACTTGGTTTACGCGCTCTGTTTGTCCATCAGTTTGAAGATGGAAAGCCGAAGATAGCTTTATGTCCACTTTTAAAATCTTGAAAAGGATCCTCCAAAATCTTGACACAAATTGAGTTCTTCTATCTGATATGATATCTTTAGGTAATCCATGATAGCGATAGATATTATCAATGAAAAGCTTAGCTGTTTCTTCACCTGTGATAGATTTTCTACATGGTACAAAATGTGCCATCTTGGTGAAACGATCTACTATCACAAATATAGAATCATAAGATCTTGAGCTTGGAAGATCTGTGATGAAATCCATAGAAATAGAAGACCATGATTGTTCTGGTATAGGTAATGGCTGAAGAAGTCCGTAAGGTCGATGACAAGGAATTTTTGATCTTGAACAAATATCACATGATTGTACAAAGTCTTTGACTGACTTCCACATTTGTGGCCACCAAAAATCTCTTGATATGAGTTCCAAAGTCTTATTATATCCAAAGTGCCCTGCTGCTGGAAAGTCATGACGTGCTTGAAGAACACATAAACGTGCTTCTCCTTCTGGAACATATAGGCGTCCTTCAAAATATAATAGATTATTTTTGAACTCGAACTTAGAAGGATCATGAGACTTGGAAGAATTATTCTCGATATCATGAACAAGAGGGTCTGAGGACATACTGGACTGGATTTGCTTGAGAAAAGTTGAATCAACAGTCAATGCTGATTTCATTGCTCGGAGATGAAATTGCTCCGGTTTCAAGAGGACCGTTCTTTGTTACTCAAAAGCTGCATCTCCTTCTTTTGGTGCAAAATAAGAACGTCTAGATAGGGCATCAGACAAACCTTGTTGTTTTCCTGGCCAATAAGTGATAATGAACTCGAATCTTGACAAAGACATACTCCAACGAGCTTGACGACGATTCAACACGCGTGCTGACATGAAATACTCGAGGTTCTTGTGATCTGTATACACAGTGATTGGACTAGAAGCGCCTTCTAGATAATGATGCCATTCTTGAAAGGAATCCACGATCGCAAGAAGTTCTTTATCGTGGATCTCATAATTGATCTCGACTGCTGAGAATTTTCTTGAATGAAAAGCTATCGGATGAAGTTTGTCATCTGTTCCCATTTGTGATAAAATTGCACCCAAGGCAAAATCTGATGCATCTGTTTCCATAAAAAATGCCTTGGAAAAGTCAACACGATATAAGACTGGCACAGAGACAAACGATGACTTCAAGGCTTCAAATGCTGCTTCCGCTTCTTGATTCCATTGGAATTTATCTTTACTAGTCAAGCGTGTAAGTGGAGCTGCAACTCGTGAGAAATCTTTGATGAAGATCCGATAGTAATTAGCAAATCCCAAGAAACATTGGACATCTCTTACTGTCCTTGGAATCTTCCAATCCATGATTGTTTGGACTTTCTTAGAATCCATCATGAGACCATCATTTGAAATGATGTATCCTAAAAAGTCAACTTGAGTAGTGTGAAATACACACTTTTCTATCTTGGCGTACAATCCTGCATCTCTAAGTTTTTGTAATACTTGACGAACATGTATTTCTTGTTCTTCGACGTTCTTAGAATAGATCAGGATATCGTCTAGATAGCAGACGACAAAATTGTCTAAGAATTCATGAAATACATCATTCATGAGATGTTGAAAAGCAGCTGATGTATTCGTGAGTCCAAAGGGCATGACATTATATTCGAAATGTCCATACCTGGTTCGAAACGCAGTCTTCCATTCATCTCCTTCTTTGATCCGTACTAGATTATATGCTCCTCTTAGATCTATTTTTGTATAGATCTTAGCTTGATTCAACTGGTCAAGGAGTCCTGATATCAAAGGTAATGGATACATGTTCTTGATTGTGATCTTGTTGAGTCCTCGATAATCAACACACATTCGTAAAGATCCATCTTTTTTCTTTACGAATAGAATTGGAGCTCCTGCTGGAGATTTTGAATGGCGTATGAAATTCTTCGCTAAATTCTCGTCAATATATGTCTTGAGTTCAGCCATCTCATCT